AGATTGTTGCTAATTTTAGCGAATTTGATTTTGTCTACTACCGAGAATATATCATTCTCGAAGTTCAATAATTGCTCGACACATGGTGAATGGAACAGATTTGAAGCATTCATGAATTAATTCACTTTGTTTACGCATGTGGAAGTGCTTGAAGGTAACAGAAACGTAATATTTAGATTAACTGATTGTTCCTTAAAAATGCCCTTAAGCCGCCTAACAAAATTAGGTAGAAAATTTCAACAGTTTCAAAATAAATGAATTTAACGCATGCGTAATTAACAGTAACTACACACACACACACACACACACACACATATATATATATATATATATATGGTATAAAATGAGAATTGGAAAAAAATCTTAGATTTTGCCGACGCGTTTCGTCTTCTGACTTTTTCAAGGCAAAAATGAAATCGAAATGGTTTTGTTGTTATAGTTACATTAAAAAATCCAAATTTAAAAAGATAGACGCTTCTGTCTAAGCCTTTTTTATGGTTAATGTAACATTTTATATCAATCTGTCTTGTTCACAGAATTCATCTGGGAATTTAACTATATATATATATATATATATATATATATGTAGACGCAGAGGTGAAGGTAGTCGGCATAGGCCAAGCTGAAGAGGATCGCCCGGAACCGCGTCCGTTGGCGAGGTGTTGTTGCGGTCCTATGTTCCCCAAGAAATCAAGAGGTAAGAGAGAAATGGAAATGTGGATGGATCGGCCACACACGCCCCAAGTCTACTTCTAGTGTCATCAGACAGGACCTGGACTGGAATTCTCAAGGGAAGCGAAAAGTGGGTCGACTAAAACAGACTGTGCGCAAATGTGTTGACGCAGGTGAAAGGATCCCCGGCACGACATGGGCCGAACTGAAGAGGACCCCCCCCCTTCCCTGAACCGCGTTTTTTGCTGAGGTGTTATTGCGGCCCTATATTCCCCAAGAAATCAAGAGGCAGGAGAGAAATGGAAACGAGGATAGATCGGCCACTCCTCAAGTCTGCTTCTAGTGTTACCAGGCAGGCAGGCAGGCCCTGGACTGGAATCCACACGGGGAAGCGAAAAGTAAGTCGGCCAAAAGAGACTTGGCGCAGAAGTGTTGACACAGAGGTGAAGGCAACCGGCACGACATGGGGCGATCTGAAGAGGTTCGCCCGAAACCGCGAACGTTGGAGATGTGTGGCTGCGGCCCTATGTTCCACATGGAATCAAGAGTCCTAATAGGATAGAAACCCGATCAAGTTGCTGGCAATAAACGCCTGTAGTTATGGTTTTCCCATGTTCTAGTAGTTGGCAATGGTCAACGCATATCATATTCCGTCAGACTCAAGAGGAAAAACTTCTATAGATGAAGTCCTGCTTATGGTGTCGCCACTGATTTCTCATTTTTTAACAAGCGCTGACTTTTTTTTTTTTTTGATGACATGCAAAACACATTTTTCATCACTGTAACAATGCGACGCAAAACTGAAAGTTTGGCATTGTTAGCTGAAAATTAATGCAGATGGTGGAACATTCTGTTCAGTTTTCAAGTGAAAGCTCATGAGCAATCTAAATTCCTTGAAATCGAGATGGGCTCGCAAGTTCCACAATCAAACTCCTGAGTTACGAGAGAAGGCATAACAGGAAAAATATAACGGATCCTCGGAACGCAACCGAAAACGTCAACAACAACAACATATCTATCTCAGACTATCCCTATCTATCTATCTATCTATCTATCTATCTATCTATCAAAGTGAACATTGAAGTCAACTCTCCAGAGGCGACAGGCTGTTTCATGCGAGACGCAATGGTCAGGCGGCCTGACGATTACGACTAGCATGAAACAGCGTGTCGCCTCTGGAGTGTAGACTTCAATGTTCAACATCATATTTATATTTACGTACGCTCTATCTATGATATTGAGCACTTTATCTCATAAATATAGCACACCTTAAAAATCTATATTTCTTTATATATATATATATATATATATATCAGTTCTTATCTCTCTCTATCTCTCTCTCTCGATATATATATATATATATATATATATATATATATATCAGTTCTTATCTCTCTGTCTCTCTCTCTCTCGATATATATATATATATATATATATATATATATATATATGTATCTCTTCTTATCTCTCTCTCTCTCTCTATATCTATATATATATATATATATATATATATATATATATATATATATATATATATATGTTCTTATCATTTGTCGCTCAACAACCTTACAATTATCTCATCTATATTTTTGCTTCCTGTCATTTCCAGTACTGTGAACTCGGAAAATAAACACAAGAGAACCAGTCGATCGAAACACAGAGACGATAAAATACCATGAAAGGTAATTGACCACAAACTTTGATATCACTGTACGATGATGTTGGTCATTCCAACGTTGTCAAAAAAAAAAAAAAAAACTCAAAATATTTCATCAATAAAAGACAACATCTTCCAAGTAAGTGAGATTAAATCGATCTTTTCATTTTAAATAGGAAAAAAGCATCCGTTCCTGAAAATATCAGTTGGTCAATCAACAATAAGTTCACCCGACCGACCGGTAGGATGTTGTGGCAACATGGTCAATAATCAATGGAATCATTAGAAAGTCAATTCATTATGTTTTCTTTAGACGGGGCGTTTTCTGTCTGTACTTTAATTGCTTATTAGTTTCATATGTAGACTCGCATATCTTCCACATTAATCTACACCAGTAGACATTTTTCTCTTCACCTCCCCCTTTCAGATATTTGCGCGGGCTAGCCCCTCCCTGTGCACTGCACTGGTAGATGGAGCAAAGTAAATGCAACAGAGTTAATGTTACCTGTTTACGCTTTGTTGTATTATAGCAGCTCCAAGTACCGGAAGTTAAGCTATGGCGGGAAAAGCCAAGTGGCGACTGCAAGATCAAACCTGAGAAACTGTCGTATTTTAGCTTTTAGGTTTCTGCTTGATAGACAGCTAAATGTACTTATATATTGCCCCTAAATGTTTAAAATACACATAAAAATGTAAATAATTCTTCTTCTTCTTCGCGCCACAATCTCCACAATTTCCCATCTCTTGTAGCTCTTAGTAACGTTTGTCTGTGCGCCATCCCATCCACATCTTACGAAATTTCACAAAATATTGTAATAACAATTATAAGCATGAAGGCAGGTCATTTTTTTTAAAGAAGAGGGTACAAATGAAAAGTTTCAATATTGATAAGATTTTACATTTCATTGAAGCTATTGTATCTTCTTTCTTTTATCTTTCTCATTAAAGCAAACAGCGTTTCTGATGTCTTTTGCTTCTGTTTTTCCTTGCAATCAAAACAGAAGGCTCTTTTATTTATTTGAGGCAATGGCACGTACGTGCTAATCTAAGAAAGTAATGAAGGAACAGTCAGAATTATAATACGACTAGTGTACCCGTGTTGTCAAAACTGACGACAAGAAGGGGTCTATTATAAGTAATATGTATTATATTGTAAGCAATTTTCGTTTGATCCAAGTACAATTTTGTAATTTAAAATAGTTCGTTGTTAACGTTAATAATTGAACAGTGTACAATTTATAAACACCTCAGGAAAGATATCCGTATTTTATCCTCATAAATTGTACATATTTACACCTAAAATTATGTTTACAGCAAAAGTTCCCAAAGCACCGTATTTTTTGTGTAAACTTTGGAAGGTCTGAGGAATCCTTGACAGTCCGTAGATTCAATCTGTAATTTCAGAGTCTGCTTATTTATCGTCCTACTAAGAGCAACGTATCATCAGATATTTTTTAATCTATTTTTTCTAAAGCTATTACCAAATTCCACAAGATATGCCCCGAATCGTAACATAAAACTGCATTAAAAATATGTAATTATTTAATTGTAAAAGCTTTTAATTGCTATCATAAATAATATGAATGAAGGAGGTTGTGTAAATAAAAATAAACAACTCTTTTGATGACTGATGAATTTTTATAAGAATTGTTCCCCACCTCCTTTTTTAATTATAATTTTTAAAGTTTAAAATGAATTTCTAAAAATGAACAAAGCATTCTTGAAGATATAAGTGGCGTATTATATATACGAACCCTCTTCGATAGCGATAATAGTACACGTCAACAGGACCGAGTCAGCACGGCACCGGGTGGGGGTGGGGGTCATCGTTATTTTACACATTGCCTCCTCAATTGTTACATACACACACACATACACACACACATACAAAACATAAATATATATGTGGTGTATTATATACAGTGTAACCCGGATATAAGAGAGTTGTCGGGACCGGAGAAGAAGTCTCTTATATCCGGGTTTCTCTTATATCCGGGTTTGGTCTATTTTGTTTAGGTAAGTATGGGAACACTTTGTGGGCCAGAGAAAATCTCTCTTATATCCGGGTTTCTCTTATATCCGGGTCTCTTATATCCGGGTTACACTGTATATAGATTATTAATTATTTTTCGAAAATTTTACAATCACTTTTTTTTATTCTACCCACCTCGTTTATTTGAAACATAAGCGTACGTTTGGTCAAAGGAATTTTTATTCAGTTTCACCAAACGTTTCCGACGTTATGTGGAGCTCGAATATTGAACAGACCATTTTATGACATGCCAGGGGAAAAAATCACATCTACTTTAAGCGATGCGTAACAGCGAACTGAATACGCGAGTAGATTAATATTTTCAGGCATTCTTTTATCCTTGCCCATTGGTTAATCAATACGATATGGTTTGCACATGCGCGTTGTGGTACAGCCTATATAATAACACAGTCTCGTTATTTAAAAGTTATATTTCGTCGGTGTGTAGAACAAGGGGCACTTCGACGTGGTGTCATGATTAACAAGATTGTCTCGCTAGACTAATTATGATGGAGTAGTGAGTGCTCTATACATTCAACCTTGTGCCACATCTACGTTACGCTTAGTAAATCCTGAAAAGGAGAAAATAGTTTTGGGGGTTTGGTTATTTAAAATATGCCCGCCATCTGATCAACTTACCTGAAATGGAAAGGAATGCTATACCCCAAGTAATACTCCAAATCCACCCGAGCAGGAACAAGAACGTTGTAATGAGTTGGAGACCGGCCACCCAAGTGTTGGTCCATATTATACTGGAACGGGTTTTCTCGGGTGGACGCACCTGCGACCCGCACATCAGTGTTAACCCGGAGATAAAAGTTCCTGGAAATAAATAACAGACAAATATTAATGAACAGATCGATAAACGCAAAGAATTTTTTTCGGTGAGATAAATTATATATATATATATATATATATATATATATATATATAGAGAGAGAGAGAGAGAGATTATGTGGGTAGTTATTAAGATTAGGTTAATCACATTTGAGCAGCAAGTAAGAATCATGGTTTAAAGATTAACCTTCTTCCTCGCCGCATTACTTTATGAAAGCGTTTTTTCATAAAAAAAAACAAACAATGCCAATTGATTGTAAATTTCTCGAGTTTATAGATTTTTATTTTTAATCCGACATATAATTTATTTTTATTTTTAATCCGACATATATTTATGACTTCAAACCTTATTATTAGTGTTTACCAATGATTCCCAAAGTGGGACGCATGCCTCACCAGTGGGACATGATAATATTTTGGTGGAGCATGCAAAAGGATGTGCACTCTTTATAAGGGGGCAATTCGAAAATGAGTTATTATCAGTGAATTGTTTTCTAGTGAGTATGAGTGATAGTGTTAATGTTAATACGTGTTAATACAGACGATGCATATGCATACATAAAAATTCAACCACCGTTGCAAAAAAAAATGTTGTTACCATTTCCATCTTCGTATTTAGCTGAATGTAGCTTTAGTGCTGTAAATGATTTGTTATTGAAGAAAAGAAATCGACTGGATATCACGAAACGAGGAAACTTGAGGCTTAAGCTGACTAAATTGGTACCTAATATAAAATCTTTCTGTAGCAGACATGACGCACAAGGATCTCACTAACAGTCATTTTGTGATGAGCTTAAATTTCATTTTGCATTATTATTTCATGATTAAAATGATCAAAGTATATCATAGAATAAACTTTCATTCAAATATTTTATATTTCTGCCTTTCAGTTCTTTATTATTGTTTGAAACTATTGAAATATATATATATTTAACTGTCTTTTTTTTTTTTTTTTTTTTTCTTTTCATGGACGCCATAGTCTTTGGAGGCTTGTTTAGAGACCAAGTTAATGGCCTTTTCAGCTTCCTTCATGTGAATTGCAGTAAAATTTTGAATATGTAAGAATTAAATATTACAGGTTGGCACCAGAATTTTAGAAATACCAAAGGGGGGGGGGCATGGCCCCAAATCGGTCGGGAACCACTTATACCCTCATTTGAGTAGAACGTTCGATTTTTTTTTTTAAACAGTGTTTATTTTCGTCCACGGGCAGATTCGAGAAAACTTAATAAAGAAAATGAACCTGTGGGTTATCCCACTTGACATTGCTAAAAAAAAAAAAAAAAATGTCGCTAGAAGGCGCTCCTTAAGCCTATAAAAAGGCGTGCATTTCTTTCCCTAGCTTCTTTTTGCAAAAATTTCAAACAGGCATCCAGATGTAGTAGTACGAGGCTAAATATCCCCCCACTAAAAATTGATTTCTTTTTAAATGAGGTTCTCCCTTGTGTTTTTGTACTCTCTCTCTCTCACACACACACACTCTTGTTACACACACAAAAACAAGCAGATCCTTATTATAGCTAGTTTTATGTTATTTCCTTTCGTCATTTGTAATTCCTTGTGTTAATTCATGCATTGTCGTTTGTTTTATATTTATTGTCTTTTTTTGTATTTTTTGTCTTTTTTTTGTATTTTTTACTTGGACTCACATTGAGTCCGCCGAAATTGTTTGTGAGATAAATTTTCCAGGTGTCTCTAAATATTTACGATCTAAAGTGTTGATTTCCGCAACACAATGGTGACTAAATAATTACACCCAAATCACAAGCCACCCACAACATGCCCCTCCTTCGAACTTGCATCCTCCTTCGTAGGAGGAGTCACCATCTGATCTGACGTTGCTTTCCATCAAATGGTTATAGAATTCGTTAATAAAATTTTATTTTGGTAGAAATTTATGTTTCTTTGGTATCTTTGATCTGTTCAGTTTCTTAGATAATTACCGCCTTAAGCAGACCTCATATATGGTATTTCTTTTTTTTATCTTCCCGACTATCGCGACGAATCGCAAAATTTACCACCTCAATAAAAGCCGTTGCTTTTCTTGATGAGGAGAGGGTATCTGTAAATTTGATTTCTTTACCTTTTTTTTATTTTGCCTCTTGGAATTTTTATCGTTAGACTTCTGATTTTGATTTATACCAATAACACTCGTATTTTCTGCCTTTTCGATTTTTAAGGCTGGATTTGCGATGCGGACTTTTTCACTGGCCTTGTTGTTTTGGACGTGTGTTAAAAGATTCAATTTAAACATATTTATTTCTTCAAAAGTTATTTTTACTGGATACCCGTATTTTAGAAGCGTGATCCTTGCAACAGGGTCACATCCTTGGTCACGGTCCCCAAATAATGTAACACCTTTCGCTGCCGCCTACACCCAGTGGTGTAATCATGCTTAGTGGTCCGGTCCTCAGAGTCTTAGGACAACGCTTTAACCACAGGCTAACTATGCGCTGGTCAATGCTTACACTGGTCCAAGCTGGTTGTTGTTCGCTGGCCGCTTCGATCCACACCGTCACTGCTCACGTTGTGTTCTTGTCGCCGTAGTCTCGCAGCACTGGCCAAGCTGTGGCGAGTAGTATATAAAGGAAAAAATATCTTCACGGTGAAAAATAAAACGGGAGATTCGTGGGTCAAATCCTCAACTGGTTTATATAGCTCTTGGTACAACAAAAATTAACCTTTCTCGCATCAATCTCTCTAAAACAAAAAAATTGTCTAAACTTTTGGAATGCTGTGTTCAGGAATTCTGGTTGGTAGCTTTCATGGATTTCTCCTCAAAGTCATCTGGTTAGATTTACTTATTTAAAAATATGGTTCCATCGCTAAACAGGAATTACCATGTTTCAGAAACAAAAGCTAAAAACTTCAAATTCAATTATAGAATTAAATTAAAGTCCCTAGCTCTGTTTCATTTTCAAGCCAATTTTATTTCAAGCGAATTTTTTTTTCGAAATATCCGAGCGCTTTTGGATACACTCTCAATCATTATCAAAAATGAATTTTATTTTTTACTTTTAACTGAATGTATGGATTGTTTTATGTATGTATCTTGAGTAACGAAGTAGTGAATGTATTATTACTAGATTCCACAAGGTAAAGTTGAGGACAGATTTTTTTTTTGAATAATTGTGTATTTGGGCAGCCATCCTTCTTTTATCCAAGGAACTGTGGTTACAATTTTTATTTAATTTTTTTTCAAATGTTTTGTATATCCAAGCGCTTCCTGTTGTACTTTCAAGGCTGTATTTTCATTTTCAAGGGTTTTTAGCCATTACCTTGGCAAAGATTATCCTTCATCGAACCTTTTGGATTAGCACTACATAATGACAAAGAGCTGTATGAAATAACAGAAACCACATCATTTGAAGATTTTCAACAGCAGCAGCAGCTAAAGGATATCACAAAGGAATTTTAAATGGAAAACGGAAGTGATGTTGACCGAAAACTCTCTGGTAACGAGCTATCTGAGAAGGTCCAAGACGAGTTAACAAGAGTTATTGACATCAGGTCGCTGACTGTTGGCCAATCAAGTAAAAATTTAGAGCATTTAATGCCTTAAAATTTTTTAAACGAATCGGAAGTTAAAATATTGATTGAGTTCAATATAAGATAAAGGTAATAGACAAAGGTGATTTTAATAGTAATGCAACGCAACTGGTCAAATTAATTGAAACAAAACGAATAATTCCGTTATTATTTACTTTTTTTTTTTGTATTTTTCCAATGAAACATGACCCAGTGCACATGTTAGTATATCGTATGTCCATTCCACGAAGTCGTTCCTTGCAGATTGACCACAGATTCTCGATTGGATTTAAATCAGGAGAGTTTCCGGTTTCAGTCTATAGTACTTTGATTTGCTCACTGGTAAGGCTTGCCAATATGTTCCTGCAGCGTTACAATTTTCGTATCTTCCTTGGAGTAACGTCCATCGCAGACAATGGCCATAGTACAGCTAATCGACAGTCAAGATAATAGTTTCTGGGAGTGATAAAAATCTGATGTAATTACGGTTGACGTAGTATTTTTCAAGGTCAAACAAATTTAAACATACACCCCGAAAATAGATTCATATTACTGCACCCAACTGCAAATGACCTAATCTGAGGAAAAAATAGAAATCGATTACACCCTGCCACTCCAGTGGGTCTAAAACTGACCGTATGGTGAAAGAAAGGAAACTAAAGCGGTTGTTTCAATTAATTTCCAAGTAGTTGTGTTTATGCAAAAGTTCGATTTTTTAAATTTTTAATCTGTTTCATTTAAAAGATCATTACCTCCAAACCATTGATATAACAATATATATATATTTATCTATTATAAGGCTTGTTATAACCATCACCTATTTATGTAGATAGTGAGGATTTTCGAATGCGAATTTTCAAGTTATGCAGAATCATCACTGGGTTTTATTTTTATCCATTTCTCAGAATCTAATGCCCGGATGATACCAGGTTTTTTTATATGTTAATAAGCACAAAAAAGGAATACAAAACTCAATTTTGGGAACAATATGCTAAATACAACAAATTTGACAGGCGAATTATGCAAAGTAGGAAAAAACAAAATTATTCGTACAGTAGAAAATATCGTTTTTTATTGATTGATTCGTGTAAGTATAAGTAATTTACATAATTATTTTTTTATTGAAGCCTTCTAGACTATTTATTCAGTAGAATATTTGTGATAATTCCAGCAAAGAACATCACGTGGTGCATAGAGTGTCACCATTGTTATTCTTACGTTAACAACACGATGGGGAAGACAAAAGGAGCTTAGCGTTGACTTGAGACAGAGAATTATTAACTTCCACAAGTCGGGAAATAGTTACAGCACTATTTCAAACCGGTTAGCTAACCCTAGAGCTACAGTACAATCCGTTATAAAAAAAAGTTAAACAGTTTGGCACGACAGAGAATTTGCCTGGGCATGGAAAAAAACCAAATTGTCACCGAGAACTGCACAAAAAACTGTGTCGCGAG